TAGGCCGCGGGGGGGGGGCTCATTCCCGTGGGCTCCTTCCTGAAGTGGCAGTTGGGGGCGCGCTTTACCCGCTTAACGCCCCGAAGCGGGCTCTGTCCCCTGGCGGCCTTGAAAGGGGGATTGCGCTTTCAGGTTTCGGCAGCGTTGAAGGAGGGACATGTCACTCCGACGGAGCTCTGCCAGAGGTGCCTTTCCCTCATCAAAAGCACCAAGTTTCTTAATGCTTACATTACCGTGGCGGAAGAAACTGCCTTGAAGCAGGCTGAAGAATCAGAGAAAAGATACAGAAGAGGTATGTTTGCTCCTACTTTTAATCCTTAAAAAGCTGTTGTGGAGGAGCTCTTGTGTTAGATGAAGCATCTTTTCTTTTTAAAGCAGGTATATGCACTACTTGTTTGACTATTAGGGGATGAGGCTTGCGGTTGAGGCTTCTGTGGGTGCATGCTCATGGGTGTATGCTTGGCACCCAGTAGTGTATTCCGTTCAAAAATCAAAAGCAAAACGTGGACCAAACCCGGCACTGCAGATTAAATAGGCTCTGTGCTTCTTGAACAGCACTGCTACTGGTTGCCTCTTCTTTCCCTCAGCAGTTTATTTTGAATTGGTAGCCAACAGTTACCACGAACAGGAAGATGCAGTGGTCTTTTGCAGGCTTGTCGACTGGGTTAGACAAACACGTGGCTCAGCCTATCGGGTTTTAAGTTAAGAAAGCAAATGAAAATAAAGCAACTTTGTTAATTGCAGTTATTAGTTGATGAACAGAACAGCATTCAGTCCTGTTATCTGTGGCATTTAGAGGCTGACCATCCTCATTTTCCTTTGCATTTCCTGGGAGACAGAAAAGGGAAATTTTCACCTAATAGGGTACTTGTTTTCCTTCCTGGGTGATACTTGGTGTCCTCTGGCAGCTTAAGAAAATTGCCAGCTAGAGTGTTTTGCTTCCTGACATAGGTCTTTTAATTTTCTGGCAGCTTAAGAAAATTGCCAGCTAGTTTTGCTTCCTGACATAGGTCTTTTAATTTTTTTTAATTTTTTTTTTTCCCTGGATTGTGGATAGTCAATCACCTAGGGAAGATTTTCTCTGCTTCAGTAATTTTTTTAGATCATATCTCCTGTGTATGTTGGGTAGGCAGAATTTATGTCTCCCAGCCTAGGGATGGAGTAGATTTAGGCAGCACCTATGGCTTAAATAAGCATTACATGGTCATATTTGAAGAGGTAAGCACTCCTTTGGGATAGCTAACCTATATGAAAGCAGCTGCCTGTCTTGCTCTGCTCCGCTCTGCGGGGTCAGGTCTGGTTTGGGCAGAATGCTCAGTGCTAGAGTTAGAATGGAAGATTGTTCTTGAAAAATGTAACAGACAACTATCAAATGCTAAGCGGATAGCATTCTTGCTTCCAAAAAACACCTAAAGGGACATGTAAAATAAATGGTAATTGATAAGAAGACTATACTTATAGCACGCTTTGCTTTAATCTCTGTTGTCTTTGCAATAATTCCTAATGCAGGTCAGCCGCTGGGTGTTTTAGATGGAATTCCTATTGCAGTAAAAGACAACTTTAATACAGCTGGCATTGAGACAACATGTGCATCAAACATGCTAAAAGGTACAGTAGAGCTTTTAAAGTAAAATCAGATCTCATTTCAGAGCTCTTGCTCTTCTTTTTAGAGGGTTTATGGAGTAGAGTCTTCCAGAAATCTAAATATTTTCAAAAAATGAGCTGAACTGATTTGAGAAAATATGTTTATCTAATTTCTCCTGCCAAGCTCATCTGGTATTACAGATGCATCTTTTTCTTGTGTAAGCACATTATCTCCTTTATTCATATAGTTACGTGCTTTTAACAACACAATGTTTATTATAGCCTATATACTAAAATGGAATTGTTCTATAGTTCACATTTTGCTTCACGTTACTTTTAGGTCCTGATTTGAGAAAATATGTTTATCTAATTTCTCCTGCCAAGCTCATCTGGTATTACAGATGCATCTTTTTCTTGTGTAAGCACATTATCTCCTTTATTCATATAGTTACGTGCTTTTAACAACACAATGTTTATTATAGCCTATATACTAAAATGGAATTGTTCTATAGTTCACATTTTGCTTCACGTTACTTTTAGGTCTACAGGAGAGCAGTTAGTACTGTTTGCTGCTGTTCTGTCTATCAAAATCCAAAGACAGTCTCTTTTTTTTTTTCTGTTGATAATTGTTGACTTCAGTAGTTTTTTTCATATGACTGTAGGAAGAGTAGACATTAACAATTCTTTTCTCTATATTCCTGATATACAAACACATTCTGTAAGGCTTTTTTTTTTTTTAAATTTCCTAAGCTCCTTGTTTCTGTTAACATCCATGAACATTTCCAAGGCGTTAGAATGTTTCCATAGTACAAGCAAAAGTAGAAAACATTTCTTATATCTGTTTTATTCTGCACAAAGTAAAACTGAAAAGTTTTGTAGAAGATAGCTCAAGTAAATTAGCAGAACCCTAATCTGATTATGTGTTGGGTTTTTTTTAATAGCAGAAGAAACAAAATATGACTTTGCTATTTTAAAAAGTGTTGTTATATTACCCGAGATGCTTTTCCTTAAAGCACGTTCTCAGACCCATTGTGATTGATTGCAATGTCATGGCTGAGAGTATTAGGAGTGATGTTGTCCTTTTTGTTCCTGTTGAGGGTGGGGGCGGAGAAAGCCCTGTCAATATTCACAGAAGGAAATGGTTGCTACCTAGGCTCTCATGTAAGTGTCATGGTTCTCATCCTAGTTTATGTAAGGTCTAAGTGGTCAAGGGTGCACACGTTTGATCACAGGATAGTCAGTATTTAAGCTTGTGGTTAACCATATGCTCCTTTGTCTCATGGTGATGGGAGATAATTCAAGGTAGCTTAGCACTTTTCCGTAAAGAGCTGTTTCTCATTTCTTCTAATTTTAGGCAGTTCCTGCAAATTGGCTGAATGCAGTAATTTGCTACCCTTGTGGTAACTTGTTTATGTGAAGTCTTAGCTCCACACTCTAGAAATCTATAGTCCAGAATTACTGGGTTGTAAGTTGTGGAGGAAAAAAAAGACATTGCAAACAAAACAGCATTTGGTTTACTTTTGCTACGTTTTGGAAATTACTCATGTTGTCTTGAAGCAAAATTTTGGCACTGTGAACTGACAATTCTTACGCATAAATAATGATAACTCTGAAGTGTTCAGAGTAGCTACTTCTAAATCAGCTGTATCACCAATCATTCTTAATTGTTCTGATTGTTTTCAGGTTATATTTCTCCTTACAATGCTACAGTAGTTCAGAAATTACTGGATCAGGGAGCTGTGCTTTTAGGAAAAACAAACCTAGATGAATTTGCAATGGGGTGAGTGATGTTTATTATTTTTAATGTGTGATTGCACATTAAATAGAATACACACCATCTGTTCTGATCTACCTGTAATCCTTAACTCCTCTTTCTTTGAGGTTAGAAAATAATGAATACCCGTGAAGAGTATAAAGAGTTGCATGAATTTTTCCCTGAGTATTTATACTGTTGTGTAAATGATATAAATGCTGAGTTTTATGAACATAGTGTTCGACTATAGCTGTGTTGGAGAGGGAGGAAGCAGTACAGCCTTTGCAGAAGGCCAAGGATGAGCAGACTTCTTCCAGATCCAATAGTATGTTAGTAGAATTGGTTCCAACACTAGTTAATTGCTGCCTTTTTCTCTCTCCTTACTGGTGGTTTTTGCCCTTAGCTAATTATTGTCACGCCCTTCCCCCCATGGCAGTCACTGCCTCTGCCAGTCAGCCACTGGAGTAATTTGTATGAGTACTCCCTGATTTGCTGCAAACAGGCAACACTTAAATTGCCTAAGCTAATGTTGGTGACTTTTGTCAGGAGCAGGTTGGAAAATGCTCTCACAAATTGATTCTCCAGCAAATCGGTGAAGGCAGCCAAGCTATAGCAAGGAAGAACATCGGGCTGTTATGGATGGGAGTCTCTGTCACCACAACTGTTGGGTCTGGAAAGGAATGTCTGGGACTTTAGTTACCTATGAGAAACAATAAGTGGTGTGTTTTGGTTTTATTTTAACTAAACTGAAGACAGGGTTGACTGGGAATTCAGATGGATGCAGTGGAAATACTTTGACTGTATTGTTTTAGATAAGGTCATTTCTGTGTCAGAGACACTCCTCAGACCGATTGTGCAGTATTACAACTGGTGTAAGTTCATTAAAGCACAGGATACTCCTAAAAAAGCTTATCCCACCGCTGGCCTCTCATCTCTGGTCTGTGTGTTTGCATGGTCTCTTATGCTAGCAGCAACACAGCTGCACCATGAGCTTGATCAGGGAGCTGATCCAGCTCAAAAGTAATGGTGTCTCAGTAAGGTTAGTTTTCAAGTGGTGTGTCAGCTGCCCACTCTGTCTGATGATTTGGCTAATAGCACTGGCACCCTGGAGTCAGGGGGAACATGGGGTGGAAGTTGTGAGGAAGGAGGAAAGTACATCCTGTCCCCGCTTC